GTTCTGCATCAGCTGCTGCTGCGCTGGCGCTCCTTGCTGCACCACTGGGAACTGGGAAACAACCAGTTGTTGAGATGCTTGTGGCACAGCTGGGAACTGGGGTACCACCACTAGAACGTGGGGCCAGCCGCAGGAATGGTTACAGCCACAGCAAATGTCAAAAAAGTGACAGGCTGCGATGGCTCGGAGACCATCTGCAAAGGAGTGGTGGAGAACAGCCTCCTGGTCTAACGTCAGAACCTTTCTGTGTCATACTTGTCTGTACGGGGCTCCCACGGCACAAAAACCTGCGGTCCCAAAATCTTTTCTCCATTTTGATAAATCCTAAATCCTTCCCCAGGATTGGAAGATTCACTGGCCCTTTGCTGCCCCTGTTGAATATGCTTTAGCAGAGATCTGTGCTGCTATAAACACCTCGCTTAAACACACAAGCCTGTCATCTAGACGCATCCCGTCTAGCACATCATGTGTTCACAGGCCTCCCTATCACCGCTGTCTACCACAAACCCAGACCTGAATCTTACCGCTGACAAGGCACACCAGGTTTCTTGTGTCACAAATGGAGCAGAAGAGACGTTGCACCCCTCTGCTCATCAGCTGAGCACTGACCTCAAGGCCCTGAAACACGTGGAGCTGTAAAATCCTAACCAGCGCTGCTTATTCTATGTTTGTACATGACAAACCTATCTCACGCCCTTCCACACTGACAGCTAAAAGCGCCAGCCTGGTGTAGCAGAGAAATCTTGCTAGAGAACAGGAGGCGCATCAGAAAAATGCCTAAAACCTGCACCTATCCCCCCAAAAAACAGGGGAATTGCCATAAATGCAAAGATCCAGCCTCGCAGGCCTCTAGCACAGGAAGCATGCAACAACCACGGCCGTGCACATGTACCTGCTGAGCTTGCATCATCTGCTGCTGCTGGTAATACGCAGCCTGCTGCTGTTGCTGCTGCTGCTGCAGAAGCTGCTGCTTCAAGAAAAGCTGCTGTTGGTGCTGAGGGGTGGCTTGAGGCTGAGTAGAAGGGACCTGGGGCTGCGCCTGCGAGGCTTGCTGCAGAGCTGGTGCCTGCTTGGCTTGTGGCTGTGCTGGAGGCTGCTGAGGTGCTTTTTGCTGGGGGACACTCGCAGAGAGCGAAGGCTGACCACTGCCCAGGGCAGCAGGTCCTGCAACTAGTAGGAAAATTTTAAAAAAAAGAAAAACACAGATCTGTTAGATCAACGTGCCCTGTGGTACGCAGTGCCCAGCAGGAAGGCACCACGCGGGGAACATCGTCTCACCTTGCGGCTGCAAGGCTGCTTGAGCCGTGGGTCTCTTCCTCGGCGTCAGGGCTGGCTGAATGGGTAAAATTCCAGGGTTGGGTTGTGTCTGTCCTGCTTTAGGTCTCTGGCGGGGTGCTATGGAGGTTTCTGTTGTAGGGATGGGATCTGTCAGCCTACAAAAGGAGTAAAAGGAAGAGCAGTAAGATCGGAGTCTTTGTCAGCCTGATCGTTGGCGCATGCAACACAGTAGGGTTCTAAAACCCATCCATACTTCAGCAGTATGTGACCGATAAACGTGAAACACTTGTGAGCATCCAGACACACACGTCAACTCTTTCCAGAAAACTGCACGTGCAGTAAAACTTAAACGGATGCATTCACAACAAACACTATCATTCTGATTTCTTTGCCAATTGTGGCATCTTCTCCTGTTGGACAGCTGGAACTTGTCAAAGTCACTCAACTCACTCCAATATTTGCCACAACATATTGTTTAAATCCACTTAAAGAGCTCTGGACAAGCAGATGAAGGACATAACAAATGAGCTTAAGAGCAGATGGTACCTTTGGGCAGAATTCATCTTTAGAAGTACTGTAACTTGAGTACATCTACCCCAGAATCAGATCATTGGACCTCTTCTGACCCCTGCTCAGTATTTACCGAGCTCCAAAAATGCCAGAGCCAAGAAGCCAGACACCACCCTGCCCTTCTGTGGGTACAGTTACCTGTTAGATATCAAGTTCTATTAAAGTGAGGGGAACTGCACTCCGTTATGAAAACAAACCAAGCAGACTCCCGGGACTGACACACAGGAGGAGAGATGGTTTATTTCAGAGTTTTCTTCCAACTGCTGCTTTTGGAGTGCCCACTGCTGTACTGCTCACTTTGCAGTAAAATAAGGTGCAAGTTTTGTCCATCAGAATTTACATTGTCCCCCCAGAATAAATGGTAGGGGTCTTGCAGAAATCACAGCGATTTCATGCAGTAATTACTGGGTCAGGTTATCATCTGCCAAGGGTCAAACTCAAACAGCAAGAGTCCCCAACACGATTTCTCAGCAGACTCGCATTCTTTGGGCCAGTTCCAGGCCTGCTGCAGTCTTTGTCCTGACTTTGCTCTCAGGTACTCTGGGTACTGCCTCGGAGGGATGACACAGTAGATTCATCTAAGTGCACGAACTTCAAGTGCTGCTGTCAAGCAACATCTTCAGTACAAAAAGCCGAGCTGTTGAGTCATGCTGAGTATCACCCAAGTCCCCCCCTCCCTCCTCAGGCACACAAATTTCCCCTAACATCTGCATTTTCTGCTTTTCAGATCAATGGTTATTTATGGTAACAGACCATAAGAAGAGAGGGCTGACGATACCGCAGAGGTGGTTACCTGGCCTTTGGTTGACTCTTCTTTGCAGCAGCTTCACTTGCTTTAACCGGGTCTGGGAGTTTTGTGGGGATTGGAGAGTTCTGCAGATCCCAAAAACACCAAATTTTGTAGTTTGAGGGCAGAAAACAGAGTCAGAAATAATTTGCAAAAGCATCCCGATGAAACAGGGATATTGGGGGATCTCCAAAGGAATTATTCCTCATGCTGGACACAGGACAAACTGCTCAATGCTAATGTCACGAGGAGACAGTAGTTTGGGAGAGTCTTTACAAGGGAAAAATAGTTTTTTGAGCATTTACTGCACACACTGGAATACTGGAGTCTGAACACAAAGCTTTATAGCACAACCTGGTTATTTTTAAAAGGGAACCTGGGGACAACAGCAGCAGTACTTACTAATAGTGCTATAAAAAATACAGGCATAATAGTACCAAAACCATGTTTTATTCATAAAGACCTTAAACAACCACCTGAATATGGGGGGAAAAAAAGGTTTTGTCTCACTTGGAAACAACAAAATAAAGTGTCACGTCACAGATGTCCATAACACCATAAGAAAATACTTGTCGACTCTATTTTTCAGCTGAAGTTTATAAAGAGGGGCAGATGGTTGTGTGAGGTCTGATGCAGTTCAAATGGAAGCCGGCTAGCCCCAGCCAGACGGCAGACACGGAACGGCAATGTTTCAAACCCACTGCAGCACACATTACACACGCTGTGATGACTGTGCCTGGAAATCAAATCGGTTTCCCAAGCATGGCCTAATTTTCCACGTTCACATGCACAAGATTTCTTGGTTGGCCTCACACCAGTGACTGGGTGAGGAGGTAAATCAAGGACAAACAGAAATAAACCAAATACAAAACAAAAACCTGATTCCCGCCCCCGGAAAAAAAAAAAAAAAACAACCCACAAACAGTGCTGCTAACTACAAAAAAAAAACCCCACAAAACCAAAAAACTTCGTAAGTACAGAACTGGGGAACAACTGACAGAATACAGCAGAATGCTCAATATTCAGCAATTGCCACCCCCAGTCTCCTCCCAAAGCCCTACATCAGACCCCTCCTGTGCCACTCACCTGGACGTTCTGGACCGGGCATTCCTTCTTTGCCAATTTGAATGCAAAGTAGGAGACCTGGTAGATATCAGGTCTCTTATCAGGGTCTGGCTCAAGCATATACCCTTTAAAAGACAGAGATGTGAACATCAGAGCAACAGAACAGATTCACACGAGCCATCTGTGGCAGTGTATCAGATGAGATATCAGGAAGAAATGTTTCCCTGTGCGGGGGGTGAGGCAGTGGCCCAGGGTGCCCAGAGCAGCTGTGGATGCCCCATCCCTGGAGGGGTTCAAGGCCAGGCTGGATGAGGCTTTGGGCAACCTGGGCTGGTGGGAGGGGTCCCTGCCCATGGCAGGGGGTGGCACTGGATGGGCTTCAAGGTCCCTTCCCACCCAAACGATTTGATTATTCTCCATTTGGTGTACCCAGACGCTAACAGGGTGTCCTGCCTCTTCCCAAGCTCCCTGTTGGGGTGCTCATCAGGTCTGCTGAGAAAGGGACAAGACAGAATGGACTAGGACATATTTTCCAATACAGCTCTGAACAATTTGTAGCTGCTATTGAACGCTCTAGGGCAAGGAGGGGAAATGCAGCCTGCCTGGTGAGGGAATAGCACTGGTTTCAACTTCTGCATTTCCAAGTGAAGCTGCAAGAAAAGAGCTTGATCCAACCCCAGTGTGTCAGTGGGGCAAGAGGACAGGCCACACATACACCACTGCCTTTGCATAAGCAAATAAAATACCGGCTGCTCTGCAAAAACATGCAACTCTGTGTTAGTCAAGATTGTGGCTAGGAAAAAAAAAAACAACAAAACAACCCCAAAAAAATAAAAAAAACCAAATGCTGTGCTGAAAATAAGAAAGCTGCCCCAGCTTTGCCAAGAGTAGTGCATTGTACCCTTAATTACACATTCATGCTAGTCAGTGGGTTATTTATAAATCATTTCAGTTCTGTTTCTCAATTCACAGAAGATGAATTCTTATCACTAGTTTAAGTCACTGTGGTTCTTTTCAGTTCCTTACCCAAACAGATTTATTACTGGAGAAATACGTTTCTGCATAAATGGGCTTATTGTGCAAGTTTCTGTAGCACTCAGACCAAACGGTTGTCTGTTTTCCTGTCTTTCCACAGAGTTCACGACAGCCTAGCCACACAGAAATCTCTTTGTCATAACTGTCTTTCAAAGGGGAGGGTCTCCTACACTGCTAAACGATCCCTTTAACCACCCCTGTGTGCAAACAAGCCTCTTAAAAGAAGAGAAACACCAATGGTTTTCCCGTAGGAGCCTCTATTTTCCTTGTCCTGCAGAAGCAGACTATGCCACTGTCAGGGACACTCACGGATGAGGCAGTGCATGTCTTGCGAGTGCCGAGAATTATCTGGAATGGTGAAATTGCCGTCACAGATTGCCACCTGACTCTCCCCGAATGGCAAGGTGAAGTAACACAGCTTGTACAGCAAACAGCCGAGGGCCTGGAGAGAGAACACAGCAAAGGGTTTAACCAGCTGGAGCAAAGCAGGGCAGGGTACGACCCAAATACCACTGCAGATAACAGGTAAAGTGCTCTCGTGTGTTCTACTGCACGGGCGCTGCGTGACGTCAGGCTGTGATCAGCTAGAAAACAAGCAGTTACGTGGGAAGATAAACACGTGAAGAGCTCTCCCTTGCTAGGCTGAGATCCCGTAACCAGGGGGGTGTGTGAGCACCATCACACACACCCGGCAGCTCCACATGCCACACGTAGTGTGACCCTTCACGGCATCACACAGGCAAAGCCCGTTTCTGCCGCATTCTGGGAGGAAAAAGCAAAGTAATAGGAAAAATAAATGGTAACCATCATCCTCAATACATTTATTCTGACAAAGAAACATCCAAGCTTAATTTCAAACCACCTTCAACCGTTATAAATATGTACTGGGGAGAGATCTACAGATAAGTCTGCAGGCCGCTGGGTTCTATCAGCCTTCCGTCTATTTCCGTGCTGCTTTTGACAGCACGAAGAACCACCTATTTCAAAAGAAAATCCAAGTGTTGCTCAAAGGGCTCATTATGAAACACTCCCACCATCTCAGAGGGCAGAGAGAGGGGGAAACATTTCCTAATCCTAAGCAACTCATCATCAGCTTATATCTTTTGTCACAGGATTTCACAATTCAGTCGCGCTCTGGTTTAAAATAACCTCGACGAGATTCAAGGAGAGGGAGGTTTCCAGCAGGACAAGCACCTTGAAGTCACAGCCCCACTGCGCACACCACCGCACGCTGGTTTGGAAATGCTCAGCGGGTCGCTAGAACAGAATTCCTTCCATGCCAGGAAGAGGAGAGCCCTTGGGTCTCTGTATTTCCACGTTATCACAGGAAGGAGTGCAAATCCCAGGTTGTCCCCTGGCTGCCTTTGAGGCCCTGACAATGTTTTCACGCTGTTACAGCTGCGACCTTCCCTCTCCAGGTCTCTAACACCATGGCGAGTGACCCGGCACTCGTACAGGACCCAGTTCGACAAACCTCCTGCTGACCTCAGCCGTGCAAGAGCCCCCAGGAGCTGCTGTGTTCCCGGCTCCGAGCCGAGCTCACAGAGAGGACAGGGGACTCTTCCCAGCAGATGTCACGTCAGCGATTTCCCCTCCTGTATACGGAGATGCAGAGCTACTGAGGAGACATTAAAACTCTCCTTATACTGCTTCTGCCCTGTTACTTCCCAGCTCAGGGCTTCAGAAGCCACACAAACATGCTCTGAATTAGCATTTTAAACACATTCCAGTGGCTGAATTGCCACTAGGGGACAAACAGCACAGGCTCTTTTGGTTCTTCATCCCAACTTGAGGGAAGCCTTCCATCCTTGACCAGGTTAGCCACTCATGGATGACACCACAGTTGCATTTTGCACCCAAAATGAAAAGTGTGGCAAGACTGCACTGATCATTAGAAACAGCAGCACCAAAGCTTGGTCTTTGGCCAACTGTGACAACTCAGACCTACGTTACACTGCCCAGGATAAGGACGCTATTGCTTCTGGGGGAAGAAAGTTTTGTTTTTTTTCATTTTCTACTAAATTCTGACCAATAACTTTGATTTCACCTGCTTGCAACCCAATCCAGGCACAAGCTGCCACAATACTCTGAATTTTCTGAGATCTCTTAAGATACAAAATCGGTTTGCAGTGCTCAACCCTGGCATTTCATACATCTCCAAATGAAAACCACACGGGAGGTAGCACGCAAAGAAGCATGTGGGTTCTACCCACAAGCCACTCTGCTCAGCAGTAACTCACCAGGAACATCAAGCAGAGAAACTCTTTATCCAAAAACTGTCCATTCTCTTAAGGAAACTAGGTTAGCCCCAGCCAGAAAGTTCTCCTGTCATTATGGTAACGAAAGCAAGCTGCAGGCTGGTTGTGTGATGTTAAGCGGTTTGTATACGTACCCATATGTCCGCTTTTGTAGTAATAAGTTTGCCGCTATAGAGGTTGACCATTTCTGGCGCTCTATAGGATAATGTAGTGTACCTGTAAGCAGAAAGATCAATCAATGAGTTCGAAAGGTGTATCAGATGCGTTTTTACTAAATCATATTGTCAAATAATTCAAAATTCACTCTTT